CATTCCAAATAGCCCTCTCATAAGTGCATCCTGGTCCATATTCACGGAACCGCCTGCAGAAAAGACCCTGAGGGTGCCGTAAGTCATAAAGCACCACAAAGTGCCTTTTTAGTTATGGAGATGAAGCTCTTATTAGACGATCAACGTTTATTTTGAATAGAACACAATGTAGCGAACAACACTTGTTTTCAGTGATTCGTCTTCTTTGGCTAATACATCACAATTTATGGAACGGTTAAAATACAGGAGAGCAAAAGATATTACAAAAACTGGTCATAATAAATTAATAAACTTAACTCAGAGAGTTTGTGAGCATCATCCGGCTTGGTTGAACACTGGGGTGACAAAGTCAATTACTTAAGCGCAATCTGTTCACACCTTGTCAAGTCAGGTCATTTAGTTGACTTGACCAAAGTATTTCGTCCCCTATACCAAGTTTGTGAACAACAATCTAAGCGGATTAAACATCGCATCCTGGCCACAGCAGAAGCGGTGGGCATTCGCATTCACAATCCACCCTTGTGCGCGTAAAAACAACTTGTGAAGACATCGTTCCCTATGGTCCTCCACCAACCCCGTTTTCACCCACCCTTCCCAATATTCGGCAAATTCGGACTAAACACAACACCGGAAAAAGTAGACATTATCTATATTCCTTCAAATTTACTAATTTATTATGGTCATTTTTTAAAATAATATCTCCGTTCTCCTGTATTTTTACCGATTTATATAAATTCTGTTGTATCGGCCAAAGAAGACGAATCACTGAAAACAAGCCTTGTTCGCTGCATTGTGTTCAGAAGAAAGCATATCTGGCAGGAATAAATCGTGCCCCCTACATGAACGAATTCGATCAGGCTAAGGGCAATCGCGGACTGTTTTATTTACCAAGTAAGTCTCGTTATGAAAGCGCCAAAACTGCTAGTGCTCACAGATCCGTTGCGATCTGCTCGGAGTAGGCTGGGCTCTGCATAAGTGATTATTTGGATGAAATCTTCATCAAATGTTGAAGCCCCATCACACATAAAACCAATTTCTGTGCTATTTCCAGACGTCAGGCCAACCTCCTAATCTATCCTTTAATGTCGCACGGAACCGTTTATTGAGACACGCAAGTGCCTGAGATACCAAACGCTAGGCATGAAACGAATCAATTT